TTTTCCGTCCACCTGAGGCAATCGCGTGATATTTTACATGGACAGTGGGACCTCCGTTTTCAGGGATCTGTTCCATAATGAAAAATCCAAATTTTCTGCAAATAAACCTCTTAGAAATACTGAATTGATGTTAATTATATTGTATGTTTATTGTAGCATTATAAATTAAAATATAAATTTACACACATATTCTTAATTAACTTTTCAATTAACTCACGTAAATCAATAAAATGTTTGTGGATTCTCCGGGGTTTTCTATTTTCCCTGGACATGCCGACATTAGCCCGGGTAATGTGGGTTTGTACTGAGTACATGATCTACTATCAATGTTTATTTCAAATTTCGTTTTCAATCTCATTACGGTTTATTTAAAAATATGATCTTCGATAATAACTATAATGATAACAGTAATAATAATAATAATAATAATAATAATAATAATAATAATAATAATAATAAATTTCAAATCTATTCATTGCCATTTTTAACTATGTAAATGGATCAGTGTAATAATCAATTGAGATGTAGGGGGAAGCATGCTTCATTGTGCGAAAATGTTTCAAATAATTACAAATGTAATAAAAATTAAGCGAACTCGATTATTTCATAATTACATAACATTCCGGATTCGTTGTTTCTTTCTCGTTTACAATGATTTTCTAACTCGCATCCCATTCTTATTAAATTATTTACAGAATACATTTTAAAAGCCTTGTAGCAGTTACAAGATAAGCCACACCAGCCACAGCATGCATCCCGCTATTCATAAATGTTAATATGTCGATTTTAGTGAAAGTGTGGCATATATTATTAGTATATATGATTTGTTCATATTCACAAAGAGTTTGGAATGGAAACAAGATGGTAACACACTTCTACCAAAATCCAGATATTACATTTTACGAGTAGCGGGTGGATTGTTATGGTTGATGTGGCTTATCTTGTCACTGACCCGCTCTCTACGTTTAATTTGTTTCAAGCAACTAATCACATCAGACGCATCAGTCACATCAGTCACAGCAGACGAACCAATGCAAATAATATTTGTCAGATATTACAGGTATGTGGTTATTTAATCATGAAGGGAATATTTAAACGGCCATGTTAAAGTAGGAAAACTTATTTGGGGACTGATTCACATGTGCCGAAATTCCTTTTCGCAAATTTGTCTTTTACTTCCTCCAACGGGCAGTCTGATGTCAGTATAGTGACGGAAGAAACAATCTAAGCCACTTCAGATCTTCTTGTCCACGATATCTCAGCGCTCGCTGGTCGACGAGGATTCCGCGCGTAAGTGGCGGGAGGGGGTGCTTCGGCGAGGACCGGCCCTTCTCCATCCCTTCCTCCCCTCCTTGCCCCTCCCTCCACGCGTCCCGAGCCGTCATTAAGGCCCTGTAAACAGCGTGGATTGATTGTGCATAGGGGCGTCTTGGTGATGAGCGGGATCGGCGCCGACGGCTGTGGCGTCGGAGGGGGGCGGCGGGCGGCCAAGCGAGGCCCGTGCAGGATTTATGGGCGAGGGCGAGGGCATGGGAAGAGGGGGGTCGCCCCGGGGGACGCGTGTGGGTCGCCGGGATTTGTGAGAGCAGATCCGCGAACGTGTTGCGGGCGCCCGGGACGCCCCAGCGTTCCGTTGCCCCGGGCGCGGAATCGGGGCGGAGGCGGATATGGCAGGAGAGGGAGAGGGAGAGGGGGGCGGAGCGGAGCCTCGGGATCCCTCGGATGCCCGGGCGGCGTCTGCAGGGCCAGACGTATGCCGCGCGCAATTATTCGCTCCGTGTCGAAGAGGGTGCGTGGGACCGGGGTGAGGGGAGGGGCGGGGCGAGGTAGGCGGGGCGGAGCGGAGCGTGGCCGCGGGCGCCGCTCCCGACTGGAATTGCATGGTGGCGCTCGCCCATGCGGCCTTGTGGGCCCCTCGCGAGGGGAAAGACGGTGATCCCTTCCGCCTGTGCGCCGATTCGAACATATTATTTCCGAGATTGAGAGTTTTTCCGACGCCGAGCTTTTCATTTTATCCTCTTATATTCCGACTTATTATTCGCGTTAGTGTCTTTCGAACAGTAACAGAATATGTTACGTTTTTATTTGCTTCGTGACTCCAGTATTTTACCCTTAGGTTGATGTTTGACTTGTTCTTTAATTAAAGTATGGCCAAAGGCGAACAATCAATGGCGGTATCTGATTAAACGATAATAGAGATCAAATTCTGACTGTTTGTCATATGGGGATTTGTTGAATGGGCAACAACTTTGAGATACTACTTGTAAACGATGTGCATTACATACATGCAGTTGAATATATCTTACATTTGAATATTATATTTCATTAAATCGTATGTACGACACGTATCTGATTTTTTTAGGTGAATAATGCCCATAAGGTGCTTCTTGATAGAAGGTTGAATTAAAAAATATTTCTCTGCCTTAGAGAGCGAACTCCAACTACACGCTGAAATGATATCGTGTGTATAGTAAATAAATTTTATACCTAAGACTTACTTGTCAAACCCATAGGATATTTCCATCGTTTGTCACATTACTATTGAAAAGGTGTTCTCTGTGATACTATTTTCTTAATATATGTTCTTTTTTTCTTCATTCGTTACATTCTAGTAATCAATGTTCTAGTCGAATTTTTATCCAACGGTATTTATTATTTTGCGATGCTAATTTCCACAAGGACAATAATTTTTAATTGCTCACCGATTATGCTCCGCTTCTTGCAGAGATTTATCTTTGAAATTGATTCATTATTTGCGAAAAGTTATCCGTTGATGCAGTAATATTAACGATCAATGGAATTATTTGAACCAGGAAACTGGCACAAAAAAGGGAGTGGATATTTCCTAAACGTCACGGTTGCAAATGAAAAAGCAGTTATCCTGATTAAACAGGAATACCAGCTTCAAATGCTTGCCAACACGTAAGCGCATCGCGTATTTTCGTTTTACTGCAGTAACCAATCTCATTATCGCCACTGCATGGAGTTTTAAGTCCATTGAAATGAATAGTTGTAGTTAAACTTTACAATCTGGGGATTATACACGTGCTCGTGGCGTCACGGTAAGCTTCAATTGGGCAATGAAAACCGTTGATGAATATCAATTTTGTTGGTGATCCGCCGGGAGATTTATTGAAACATTGTAATTATGTGTGCAGAAAGAGGTACGATGCACGAGGCGCGCGGTTTTTGTGTTCCGAGTTCGCTGTTGCCCACTCGACAGGCGGCTGATTATTTGCAGCAAATACCTCTATCGATAGCCCTGCATCAAATTTGCCTTTAGAAAGATAGTTGCAGCATGGTTTAGTGCTAGTTACTCTGCCGATATTTTATCATTTGTGTTAAATGCAATATTAATTATTCTAAAGTACGAAGATTGTAATTCTGCCTATATTTTTCGATGTATACATTTTTTTTATTGAATTATGGGATAATTACTTACAGACGTAGATATTGAATTATTAGGTTTTTTAATGACCATAACTACACCTTCAGCATAAAATGAACACATCTTGAATACGTTCTGGAATTTGGATCACTTTGAAATTTAGTAGTTTTGAAACGTGTTTACGTGGTTTCATACTTTTTTGGCGCAATTCTATTTCTGAAAATGAATCCATTAACGGATAATTAATCATTGATAATTAATGCTTGGCATTTAGCATAGACTTAATGTGAAGGAATGGATATACTCAGACTTTTTCAAGTGTTTTCAGAAATAACTGATTCTTTAGCCAAAATGTCTATCTACCCATTTTATAATAACTTTTTCTTCACTTTTACTTATAGATTAGTCTTTAATTTCCATTCTCAAAAGTAAATTAAATTGTGTATTTTTTAAATATTGCTGAAATGTTAAACATATTTTGTTTTAAAAAATATTTTGGATAGCATTGTACCCAGATTCCAACAGTTTCTAGAAATAAATATGGTCCTTTAATACAAAAAGTATCACTATACATATTCCACTTTTCTTTCCACTTGCTAGTTTTTCTTCTTACAATTAAAAACAATGTAAATACAAACAATAAAAACATGAAGACAAAAATAAAAATATCATTGCATAAATCATAAGTAATAATGTAATAAATGAACAATTGCTCGTATCCCGAACAAACGAACTGAACGCGGAACGGGGGCGCCGTGACGCTAAAGTGAGAAGTGTGCGAAGAGAGACCGGTATTTCAAGATAAACAAAGTTACTTTTTCATTTCCGAGGAGAAGGAGCTGTGTACTTTGCACTGAAAACTGTTCTCGTACTTAATGACTTTGAGCGTTTACTTCTGATGGATTCATGGAGTTTTAGGTTTTGTAACAGGAACTTTTGATATAGAACACTCAAAAAATTTTTGAGATCTCGTTGCATATGAGTATATGTTATTGAATAATTCATCCAAAAAAGGAAAATAAATCTTGTAAAAAATATTTCATTGGGATTTGTGTGACCGACATAAGCATTCCGCACCAAGTACTTGAAGTTTCAACACTCAGATTTTTCTACCATTTCCTGATTTTCTTGTACGTTGTATAGTGTTTTTGCCTATATTGAAGGGTGAATTTGCCTTTTTGCACCCGTAGTAGTGTTTTTCTCACTAGTTCGAAATACAGTTTTAGTAATATTAATATTATTCTCAATTTCATGGAAATAATCTTACCTTTTTTGGCTCAAGATTCGATGTGGATGAGTCACGTATGAACTCAACAGCTCATGTTCATTTTAGAATTGCAATTGTTCACAAAATGTGTGGATAAAATTTAATTTGGGAAGATGATTTTTATCTGAGTTCATCATAAATTAAGTATTACTAGTATTTCAGTATATAATAGAGCATGTTGACGTACCATTTCTTACATTATTTATTTGTGAAATCCTCAGAAAATGCAATTGCATATATTAAATAACATCACGATGACTTGACATTTTGACTTGCGAATTAATTTATATTTCTTGTTTGACGAACGAATCTAATCAAAGGTTGCCTTTGTTTTTATTTCCACAGATCAAATCAGATTTGGTTGGCGAAATAGACCTAAATCACCGAGCTCAGATTGTGAAGATGTGCCTGAGGAGAAGAGAGTTATCTACAATTTTGGACAGCGCTTCGCATCGACAGGTTTATGGCCCCTAGTACGTGGTATTTATGTAGATAGCAAATGACAGTGTTTGAAAAGTGCCTAGAATGGGATAACAGAGTTGCGGAATGATTTTTTTTAGGTCCACCCTTGATATTTTTTTTATTTATCCTTGATATCTTTGGATATGTGTACTTCAATATCCAGCAATCCTTTATGTCTTGAGCGCTGTTTTCAATATGAAATGTCAGTTGTAATTAATTTTGTTGCGAGATTCATTACTAGAAATTCTCGCAAGTATGGCGTTATTGATTGTTAATTTTTCAATTCAATTTCGAAATCGGCTCTTAATTGAAAATTAGGAATTTTCTTATCATGCCGGCTACATGGGGCAAAATCATCCTTGATAGCAATCACACCGGTTTATGAATCTAAATTAAAAATACTAAATGTAAGAAACTATTCCCTAACAATTCACCTAACTAAATAGATCATTAATTCTGTTATAAGTGATTTTAAGTGATTCGTCTAATTTTATTATGACGTTCCTATCCGTGACAGTGATATAATTTTTGAGAAAATGTGTCGAAGACATTTAATACAGTTTGTTCTTCTATGATCACATCTTAGTGTCGTTACAAGTAATATGCACGTTACGAAGTTTGTCTAATAGTTTGTAGATCTAGGAGGATCATTGAAGTTATTATTGCCATAAAAATATTTGTGGCAATAATCATTATTGGATATCTAAAATGTCTTGATAATGTGCTTATTAATTGGGATTTGGTCATACTTCTTCTCCGTCATGAAAATGTAGAATATTTTTTGGATCCTTTCATTTGCGTTGGCAAACCAAACTAAACCAAACCTAAATTTTCTGTATTAAAAAATGAGTAAAAATGCAGCTGAAATAATTCTGTTAATTCAAGATATTGATGTTTTATAATGCATTATTTATTACCTAATCATTGAATTTTGTTTTCTTCCGAAATCTCTGTATCTATTTCTTTTCAATATTATAACAAAATACTCTAGTAAACAAATTACCTCTTATTGTGCTACTACCATAGAAAAGTCGCATTTATGCAATGCAAAATTTGTTCATATGAAGTATAGAGTTAATGCAGAGTTCCAAGTTTGATCTCCTATAGATATTTTAAATGTCTACGTATAAAAGTTTTACATTAACAACTAAATATGAATGTATGATTATTACTTTCAAGAACACGATAAATGAATGTTTATTATCTTACGTGAGAATTTAGAAACCTGAAAACCATTCTAATAGATGAAGTATTACGGAACTTATTTGAAATAGATTTTCATGGTCAACTGAAAAATTGAAAATATTTCTTTTAAAAATGTTTTAATTCACCTACGTAGAGATCGAGATACTATATTTTCTTTTAATAGAACTGATCAGAATTGATATTAATAATTGGTAGTACTATAGTGTATTGCGTTTTTGTGTGCATTTAATAGAGGAAACATTCATCATTCAGTGGCATAAGAGATACTCCTCGTGAGGATACATGTGGATGAATCAATGAATTGAAGAAAAGTCCAAGACCTATTACTATACGCGCACTTTTTTTTCATACTCAACAACGTGGCATGAGGGAACTGGCGGGTTGTCTACGTCATGGCAGTGCAGTGCAGTCAACGTCATCGACAGAAAACTCAGCGTAAGAGCGCGTCTCGGACTAGGAAGCAATGAGAAACAACGCAAGTTTTTTTTTTAATTCTGAAGAAATAATTAATATTTGTAGAAATTATTGAGTAACAAGGAGCACGGTACGTAAAAAAACATCGTTAGAAAGAGAGAGAAAACTGAGAAGTCCCAATTGTAAAAAAAGAATGTGAGCATGACTGCAAACTGAGCCGTGACGTTTCGAGTGGAACTCATATCGCGCCGTGCTGTGCTAGGCTGAGCGAGAACTAGGAATCTGGAGGATCAAGAAAACGTGCGCGCATAGTAAGTGTACCTATGCAGCGAGATGAACATGCGATTACAGAAGTTTAATTTGTGGCATATAAATTGAGTCCATGAAGAATTATGCTGTTTGACGAGTAAAAAAAAGGATCAGTTGATGTATAAATGCGTGGCTCAGGAAACTCCAGTCTGTCGTATGTGTCAATTCCAGTACATTAGATGATGAAAAGTAACGCAATGCATCCTTTCACCTCTTAATTTCTTTAAAGTAGGCACCATAAGTAAAACTGAATCCATATTCATATCGACACGAGGGGGTTCTCAATTCAATTCATAAAGCCTTCTTACTCATCAGATAATCGCAATTGTTCGATTGTTTACGTCTTGATATTGCAAAATGTTAATTACATTTTTAAAGACAGGAACAGACGCGGATTCATTGTGTATATTATACATTGTATGTTATCTAGTAGAAACCTCTAATTCGCAAACGACAAAGGAAAATATACAATATTAAATTCCCATGTTTTATGGTGTTCATTAGCTCACACTGCATGTTGTTGGTATTATTATTATTATTATTATTATTATTATTATTATTATTATTATTATTATTATTAT